CAGTGATTTCTGGCTATTTTGGTTTACACTAAGTATAATATCATAAGGGCTCAAATATCGAGTGTTGTACGAAAACCTGGTGACCTTTCATATCTTTTCATCTCCTCCACTCCTATCACTTCTCCTTGATATCCTTGGGGAAACTGGTACCTGCATCTGTATATCGAGCTTGTTTCACACCTGGTTGCTTTACTGTTATTTGCATTGTGGAGACAGAAAAAAAAACTAATACACAGTACGAAACATGCTTGTGTAGTGTGTGAATGTCATTGTGTCGTGTTCACCACTGTGTTATGCATTTGCAGGCTGTGTCATTGTAGTGTTTCAAACCAGGTAGCTGCTGTTTCGTTTTCGCATTTGCAATTGTACAGGGTGTTGACAAAATCCTGTTACCTCCGTGTGTTTTTTGTACAGTGCACTGACCAACAACTGAAACATGTGGAAAAATTATGATAATTGTATCTAAAAGTACTAAATTATATTCAAACGCAAATGTTTGACTGTATTTAGACATCCAGAGGATCGGTGTGAGAACCATCAATTTCATGGCAGATAATGATCTGTGGTCATGTTCGGTGCAACATTTTCCGTAACATGGATGGAGTGATGAGGACGTAACTGGTATCAGACATTGTTACAATCGACTTATCTGCAACAGAAAATAAAAATTCATTGTAAGAAAGAAAAGGGGTTAACATGACTTTGTGAACACTCTAGGAATTTCAGACTCTCTTCCTATGTTTGCCTGAGTTGTCTTTATTCACTAAAAGTCCTCACAGTAATTCATAATCTATTAACAACCCTTTGGCTTCCTGAATAGTATGCATTTAGCAACTTCCTCCTAATGCCTTTTATTTCTTACTTGATGGATACTTCCTCTTCTTGTGTTCCCTTAATGGGGTTCCCCAGACTGATCAAGTAGTGATGACGTGATTGAGTTGTTATGAATTTCCAGCCTTTCTGGTTTGGGTTCTGAACTCCAGCATCCCCATTTGAGATGATGTCATTCCCCATTCCCCGTGTATGGGAACTTCCCACGGCCTCAGCAACAAGAACAGAATTTGATTTCACCCAGTTAGCAGCAGATCGCCAAACAACAGGACAGCATCAACCATTACCTGAAAGCGAAGGCAGGGTCAACATTTCTGGCAGGGGAGGTTCTTTCCAAGAGCTATATAGGGTGATGGAAGGGGAGATTCCAACAACTCCCCTTTTTCATTCTCCCTCCTCTACCCGCTTGTAAAGAACACAAGGAAGAGGACCCATTGCCAATTAACAGATTGTGAAATGCAAAGGTAGCAGTGAGGTGTGAAACAATGCTGGGTTTCCACTACGGGTCTTTCCCACCAGTGATGCAACTGCTAGCATCCCAGGCCAAAGTGAAACCGTTGCTTTGATGTACCAGTACCTGAATTACTACTGTTCTTCTGTTGCACGGCTCATATGCTGATGCCCCTCTTGGTCACTGAACAACAGTGGATTTTCAGTCCAGCTATGTATAGAAATGATGATGCACGTAACATGTCTGTTTCCCCCCCACCCCAACTCTCCACCATCTTGTGTGAGAGGGAAAGAAGCTGGGAGCAAAGACATCTGTTTTCAAACGCAGTTGCTGGTCTCTGGAGGAAAGCTTCCACGTGGATCTTTTATGTCATGTATTGAAATTAAAATGTTGGTATTGCACCACGAGAGATACTCTTAAGTATTGGTGCCACCATTTGCTCATTGTGCAGCAGGAGACCCAGAAATGGCTATTCCTATTATAGCACAGTCATCCAGCTCTGTCAGCTCAGCTCAGTGGAGCCAGAAGACATGGCTGACTTCTGGGTCATCAGATTGCCACTGAAATCACCTCCTGCATGTACACAAGCTACACCATACATTGTTCTTCAATCACATTTTGGTCACTTTGCCCGTTGCCGCTATCTGAGGTCAATAGATTTTTAAAAACTAAAGGGATTAAGGGATATGGGGATAGGGCAGATAAATGGAATTTGGTTAGAAGATCAGCCATGATCTTATTAAATGGTGTGGGAGGGTCAAGGGGCCAAATGGCCTATTCCTGCTCCTATTTTTTATGTTCTTATGTTCCCCCATCCCTCCTGTACTGGCAACTACTGCCAGCTCAAATGCCCATCCAGTACTGTGCATCCATGCTCAGAAAGTGTCAATGACACGTTTCTTACTTGGTGCGCCTGCACGCTAAGTGCCTAAAGTACTAGAATTTGTTTTCCACTCATAGTGCACAGGAAATGACTTTATTGATGCTTCTTAAGCATGTCACAATGTGGATCCAAGGGCAAACAACACAAGACAGTAGTTTGTCTATTGAGAACTAAAGCTTAGATTTAGGCACCTTATAAGTTACAACCTTGTTGTAAATTCTCTTAGACGTTTTTACTTAAATTATTGGGATTTGTTTTTCCTTTTCCACTTGGTGAGTTTCTATGCATCAGCTTGGCTCAGTTGGCAGCACTCTCGCCTCCTGTATTCATGACCCACGTCGTTACTTGGAAGCCATATTGTCTAAAGCTGCGACTCCACTGCAGCCCTGGGGGGTGTCCTGCATTGTCGGGGGTGCCATCCTTCAGATGAGGTATCAAACCGAGACCCCATCTGTTTGTTCAGGTAGACGTTAAAGATTCCATAATGCAGCTTGAAAAGAGAAGGGAGTTTCTTCTGGTATCTTGGCCAACAATCCTCCAAATAGAATTAATCATCCACTTCATGGCTGTTTGCGTGGACACTGCTGTGCGCAAATTGGCTACTGCATATAAGGATTATTTTATAATTATTATTGTTTGGGTTTCCCAGAACTATCCTCTGTCTCTGGTGAAATGGAGGCAGGCACATTGTTTGGGGTCAGGAATGTCCTTGTGATTTTCCCTCTGATGCTGGGGAAGTGCCTGGTTTCTGATGATGCTTCCACAGAAACCACCTGGAGAAAGAGTAGGTGAAACCCCACATACCACAAACCACAGTGTTATACGTCACTTTGCCACGACTGTCCTTCTTCTTGCATTTTGTAATGTTGTGTGAGTCACGTTGTCGTGCTTTTCAGTTATGGCCGCTGAATGTATCTGTGTCGTGTTGCAATGAGGAGAAATCCATTCACGCTCTAGCACCTCCCTACCTCTCTGACCTGCTTGCTCCCTGCTCCACCACTTGGCGCCTCTCCTTGGCTGGCTCAGCCTCCTGCTTGTCCCTCGTCTTCTCCGTTCCACCATCGGCGGCGGTGCTTTCCGCCGCTACACCCCAAAACTTTGGAACTCTTTCTCTCAATCCCTTTGCCTTGCCCCCCCTCCTTCCCCATTTTCAGATCACGCCCGAAGTCTTTCCTCTTCGACCATTTTTGTGGTCACCTCCCTGGCTTGGCGTCAGGCTCCGACACAGTGAAGTGCTCCAAGATGCGTGAAGGGTGCTATATAGATGCAAGTTGTTGTTTTGCCAGTTCTTTCCCAAAGCCAGACGCTATCCAGTTTACGTTACATCGCCCAGAAAATACACAGTAAATCTCGTGAAGCGCGTTAAGACGTTCCCCCACCGGCTAGAAAGGCGCAAAATCAAATCCTACGTCCTGTGGAGTCCTGTAGCTCAGTGGTTAGAGCACTCGCTTTGCAAGCGAGAGACCTGAGTTCAATTCTAGGCAGAGGGCGAAACCTTGGGCAAGTTTCCTTACTCCACACAGAGCCTAATAATAATCCCTCCAAAAAAAACAAATACAATAATAAATTGGTCATTTTCAATCTACGACTGTTTGTGGGACATTGCTGTGTGCAATTGGCTGCCGCGTTCGCCCACAAATATACAGTCAATTCACTTTACAGTGTGTTCTGTGAAGCGCTTTGGGACGTCCTCCCGACGTGAAAAGCGCTATATCAAATGCAAGGATTATTATTATTATATCCATCCAGCAACACTGAAAATTGGTACAATTTATTTTGGGGATGGAGGAGGGGGTGAGAGTGGGATTTGATCAGTTGGCTCATGGGGACATAAGACACAACACAATCTCTCTGTGGTTTGCTTTCTGTGACCATTACACGACTCTTGTCCCTGCACAGTAAGGTTTGATTTCCTATGTTTGTTTTTAAGAAAGGAAATGTGCTGCTGTCGGGCTCGTTGTGGGCTGTGAGGAGCAATGACACGGATGGTTTGACGGTGATGCCCTCTGCGGGTCGGTATACACCGCACAGGACTGGGAGGAAGGTGTGAGAGAAGAGAGAGAGAGGAGAGAGACACAGACACACCACACACACACCTCCCGCAGTCAGAGAGCAGAGAGAGAGACACAGACACACACAGAGAGGAGAGAGGAGAGAGAGAGACACACAGACACACACAGAGAGGAGAGAGAGGAGAGAGAGAGAGAGACACACAGACACACACAGAGAGGAGAGAGAACAGAGAGAGAGAGAGAGAGACACACACACAGAGAGGAGAGAGAGCAGAGAGAGAGAGAGAGACAGACACACACACAGAGAGGAGAGAGAGCAGAGAGAGAGAGACACACACACAGAGAGGAGGAGGAGAGGAGAGGCGAGAGAGACACACACAGAGAGGAGGAGGAGAGGAGAGAGAGTCACAGACACACACAGAGAGGAGAGAGAGAGAGACACACACACACAGAGGAGGAGGAGAGGAGAGAGAGACACAGACACACACAGAGAGGAGGAGGAGAGAGAGAGAGACAGACACACAGAGGAGGAGGAGAGGAGAGAGAGACACAGACACACACAGAGAGGAGGAGGAGAGGAGAGAGAGACACAGACACACACAGAGAGGAGGAGGAGAGAGAGAGAGACAGACACACAGAGGAGGAGGAGAGGAGAGAGAGACACAGACACACACAGAGAGGAGGAGGAGAGCAGAGAGAGAGAGTCACAGACACACACAGAGAGGAGGAGGAGAGCAGAGAGAGAGAGTCACAGACACACAGAGAGGAGAGAGGACTCACGGCGGCTCAGACCCCCCCGGCCCCCGGCCCCCGGCCCGCGGTTCAGGGGGAAGGCAGAGCCACGCCGGGGATTGTCAGACTGTGCGGGAGTGTCCCTGTGGGACGGTGTTGATGGGGGTGGAGGCGAGAGGATGAGCGGCCCCGCAGCCCCGGCGCCACCATGACGGGCAGCGCGACCTCGTGCCGCTTCGCTGATTACTTCGCGGTGGGCGGGATCGACACTGACAGCGGACTGGAGCCGGACGAGCTCTCCGGTGAGTGACCCCGCGATGAAGGCACCGGCACTGACTGAGCAGATCCTCCCCCACCGCCTCCCGTCAGTAATGCCGGAGCTTTCCTGCCATTGCGGCTGAGCTGAGCTGTCAGCAGAGCCCAGAGAGAGAGAGCAGTGCCCACAGTGCCCACACAGTGCCCACAGGGAGGTGTGGGCATGTGAACCAATGTGGGCTGTGTGTTGGTGCCAACCGGTCGCCTTGTGCCATCCATTCCTGGTTGTGTTATTTTGGGGGTCATTTGGATGACACAATCCGCCCCGATTTCAGGTGAATTTAAAAGATCCCCTCAATGGTCCTACTCGAAAAGAGAAGGGAGTTTCTCTCCGACTCGCTTTCCCGGCCAACAATTTCCCCCAAATACCATGGGTCGCTCGCTCGCTCGCTCACTCCGTGGCTGTCCGCGGGACGGTGACGTGCCAAGTCGACCGCACAATGCACAGTCACTCCACTTTGCAGTGTATCCTGTGATGCGCACTTCGGGACATATCGATGACGCGATAAGGCGCTGTATCAAGTGCAAGGATTATTGTTGTTATAATCCTCACAGGGTCTTGAGCCTTTATTTATTTCGAGCATCTTATTTTTGAAGCGCTCCTGGACGCTATCCTGGGTGAGGGGCGCTATGTAAATGCAAGCTGTGGTTGTTGGTGTTGTTTGTTGTGTGATTGCTTGGTACTCGATGTTGGTTGGAAAAGTGAAGAGTTTTTCCAGTGTCATTGCCATAATGTCCAAACTGCAAGAGACTAGCAGGGAGAGCGTCCCGCCTGTGATTGCTCAGGGCAAAATAATAATACTGAAACATGTAGATTATATTGGAGGAACAAAATCTCGTTACCATTCTGCAGATACAGCCTGCTTTATGCTAACAACAACAACAACAAGGTTCCATTAAGGAGGGATTGCTATTTATATTCGTTATTGATTTGCAATATATTCATTTGATTAATGGTCTCAGCTTCAGAACATGGTGTGTTCTCAGCCATATCGAGACGGATAGTAGAAATAATTATTCATGATAATAAAATGAATAATAATAATCCTTAGATTTAGCATAGCGCTTTTCACATCGGGAGGACATCCCAAAGCGCTTCACAGCAAACACTGTAAAGTGCAGTGATTGTTTTGTGGGTGAACGTGGGAGCACAATTGAGCACAGTAATGTCTCGCAAACAGCCATGAAAAGAATGATCAATTTTATTTGGGGGATTGTTGCCCAGGATGCCGGGAGAGAGAGAAACTCCTTCCTCTTGCTGTCTACTGTCTGTTAGTTTTGCAAAATCTGTTACATATTCATTAGAAAGGACAGGAATCTGCAAAAGACCAGCACTTTTTTTTGTTATTTTCTGTAAATTCCTCAGCTTGATATTTTTCTCTGTTGTGTTGTTGTTCATGAGGATGGGAGGGATTCCATTGTTTTGCTGTTGAGAACTAAGTTGAGACCAATTTGCTCGAGAGCCCTGGAGCTGGTGATATTTCTCCCTGTGGAATGGGACACCCCGTGTTATATTGTATTCTGTGCACAGTAGTTCCATTCAGCCCAATGGCCAGAAATAATCATGTGATGAAAGCCCTGAATGTTAGCCAAAAATCCTAACACCAAAAAGGTCCGTCCGGGTTGTGTTCTCTGGTCTGTATTGAGTGACCTTATGTGAGCCATTTACACATACAGTGATCCAATTAGCCTAAATCCCAGGTTCCTGATAACCCGTTCTAGCTGCAAATTACCATCTGTAAAAAGAAACCAGGACCAGACTTTGCTTTGTTGCTCCCTGGGGTTGAATAGCCTTTTGACACATAGTGTCAGCACACAGGAATGGAGAATAGCTTCTTTGTTGACATAGTTGAGGGGCTGACCAGGCCTTGGTTCCCCAGGCAGAGACTGCATCTTCAGCAGAGAAGAAGGAGGGACAAAAAAAAACAATCTAACTGATTATTGGGAATAACTAACTGATGTCCACAAGTCCATACAATATCAGTCTGACACAATCGCAAAGCAATTGAATTGGTCTCACGTGATTCAATCGTACATCATGTGACTTGCCTCATATCACCAACTCAAACACGATATGGCTCTTTATTAGTGTTGTTATCAAATGTTTTATTCCATTCTGTGACCCCATGAATACAATGCTCTAATGTAGACGAGTTGACATCATGCCATGTTGAGCAAATCACCACGTGGATGTTCCAGTGCAGTGAAGGTCAGCTTTGCTTGGAATGCTTTGCATCAATCTGACATAAGTTGAAAGAAATGCACAAACACAAATTCTATCAAGTGTTTTAACCATGTTGGGATGCCTGAGTTTAAAATTCTCGTTCGTACTTTTAAAGCCCTCCATGGTCTTGCTCCTCCCTACCTCTGCGACATCTTAACACCAGACCAACCTGTCGGCTCCCTCCGCTCAGCGGGCACTGGCTTGCACCATGTCCCTGCCCGCCTCACCTTTAGCAGTCGGGCCTTCAGCTTTTCTGCCCCCATTCTCTGGCACTCCATCCTGGAATCCCTCCTTCATGCCCATCTCAAGGCTTTCCTCTTTGATCGTGTTTTCGGCCATCCTCCTACCCCCACTACCCTCCACCCTTTTTGATTCCAACCCCCAGCTCGGGTGCAAACCCTTAACTGTCCAGGGACTTTGGATGTTCTTCTGATGTGAAAGGCGCTAAATGTTACTTTGTTGTTGTTGCTCTTTTATCGTTCATGTTGAGCTGCTTTCCCCCTGTATCTTTATGAGCTGAAGAATTCATTGAGATGGTGATGGGTATTGTCACAGCTTGAGCAATTTCATGTGAGAAAGATAGAAACAACCGTTGGCTCCCAATCTGATGCTGCTTGCTGTTCAGCCAATAATCTCTGCTCTGTTGTGCTGCGGAGCACAAGCCACTGATGGTGAAAGAGCACAGCAGATTTATTCAGAGGAGCAGATCTACTTTTGTAATGTAACAATGTGCCCGTTTTACTAGTTATATGGAGCTTTCATCGATGCTGGGGAAGCAGTGAGTGCAATACCAGTGACAGCAGAATGGAGTGCAGTTGAAGAAGAAGTGTACAATTGGTGGTTCAGCTCAGGAAGACTGAAGCTGTTGACTAGGCAATATTGATGGCTTTCTCCTGACCCCCAAGTGCTTGACGGTACCAATTGGGCCTTTCCGACTCCAACAGTTAATGTCCTAATCTGTGGACTTCATTGTGATATTGATGGCATTCAGACTCGTCAATAAAATTGTTCAGTTAGCTGATTGTATAAAAAGAATGTGCAGTCCATGTCCATTCTCATTTTCAACTCCTGTATCATCTGTGCGTGATCATGTGTTCTGACCACAGGTTGACTCATGTTTAGGAATAACAGAACCTATCATTATAGCATAATTTCTTTCAACTTTTTTCAGATTTAAGCAAAGCTTTCCAAGCAAAGCTGACCATCACTGCACTGGATGAGTGAATAGCCAGAATTATTATTGTGTGCGTCCTTTGGATTAATTAAACCAAGGCCTCACTAGCCTGTTCATGTGGACGCTTAAGGACCCATGGCAGTATTCAAAAAGAAAAGGGAGTTTCTCTTTCCCAGTGTCCTGGCCCACAAATAAAATTATCACTCACTTCATGACTATTTGCAGGACATTGTTGTGCACATATTACCGTGTTTGCTCACAAGACACAGTTGCATACACTTTACAATATATACTGTGAAGTGCTTTGAGACATCCTCGCAACGTGAATGATGCTATAACAAATGTAAATATTATTATATAAATAGTAAGAAAACCACCACTTGAGTTCACCCGATTGGTCTCATTCTCCGTTTCTGATCTCCTTGAATACTTTTTTATTCAAAACTTTTATCCGAATATTTCTTAAAGTTCATTGTTGAATATGAGCGTCATCCATACCATAATAACAGTGGATTTCTGAAATGGAAAAACAAATGGGTAGAGTTAAAACAAAATGTCAGTGCCTTGAATCGACTTGTGGTACTTTTGTTCAGCTCTGCTTTGGCATTTCAGCGCATTGCCTACATTGTGATTTTCTGGGCTTTGCCTGAGGAAAAGAGAGGACAAGGTGAGAACATCTTCAAAGTCGCCTGAAGATCTTCCTAAGGTCACCTCCCTTTTCTCCCAAGCTCGGTGTCAAATTACGCCATTGTTTAGCGTCCCACAAAGATACCCCATGTGGAAGTTGCAATATAAATGCAAGTTATTGTTGTTGTTTGTTGCTCTACCACAGGGGTGGGCATAATACAGCCCGCGGGCCATATCCGGCTCGCCAAATTATTCTATCCGGCCTGGCATTGTGTCTAGCAATAGAAAAATTATAGTTCATTTAGTCCCAGAAAATCGTACAAATTTTGCATTTCAATCAGACCGGGAACATCAGTCGATCACACTGTTAAGTTGTGCGCACACTCCCTGAATAATAATAATCCTTGCATTTGATACAGCGCTTTTCACGTCGGGAGGACGTCCCGAAGCGCTTCACAGAATATACTGTAAAGTGAATTGACTGTATATTTGTGGGCGAACGCGGCAGCCAATTGCGCACAGCAATGTCCCACAAACAGTCATGGATTGAAAATGATCAATTTATTATTGTTTTTGGTTTTGAAGGGATTATTATTAGGCTCCGTGTGGAGTAAGGAAACTTGCCCAAGGTTTCGCCCTCTGCCTGGAATTGAACTCAGGTCTCTCACTTGCAAAGCGAGTGCTCTAACCACTGAGCTACAGGACTCCACAGTCCTGCTTAAGTGTTGAATCAGGCTGACCTCAGAAATTTACGGATTGGCAAGTTTTCAAACACAAGCACGGCAACTGTGGCAATACTTTTCACTGCAGTGGACGTTAATTCGAAAGAAGCAGAAAGTGGATGCTGAAGGCCGAATATTCAACAAAGAATGGACTTTGTGAATGAACCCGTGAAGTGGCCCGCCAGCCAAATTAATTGCCCACCCCTGTTCTACCAGCAATAATTGTGACTCTTGATATTC